GTATAGAAGGAGTTTACTCATCTCTCTCACTAAGAGTCATTGGTGGTTTCAAATGGCCAGAGAGGTGCTGCTTTGGGGATAACAGTGTAAATCCCTGTGGGCTATGTCTCCAGAGCTCACTATGAGATCGTTGTACCAATAGGTAAAAAGTACCTCTAGTAACACGGAGCAGGAAAAAATGGCCGTTTCGTCACTGCTTTGTTTCACAGCAGCTGTAAACTAATGAGAACCAGTTTAGTGCACAGAGACTGTCCTCAGGTATTGGCCGTGGGATCTATTCAGCTGATTGGCCCACTAAATGATTCTTCAGTAATCTGGCCAACTAAATGGTTATATTATCTAACAAACAATTAATACATTTATAAGACTGGTTGACTATACTTATAAACAATAAGCCCTAAGAAAGGGTAGAAAAATAGAGGGAGATTTGTGGCAGGATTGGTATAAAACTTCTGTGACAGTCTAATTTGGTGGATATTTAGTGTCTTCTTATTCTATTTCTCAGATGTCTTGACTAATTTGAGTAATGCTGTGTTCTCCCAATGGTGAACTTTTACTTCACCGCATTCCACACTCCACACTTACGAATGATATGTCAGAGATACTAATCTGATCAATCAAAATTGAGCTACTTGGTTCATCTTTCTTTATCATTTCCTATAAAATCTCATAAACATCTATGTGCGGGGTAGTTGCTATGGAATAAAAAGTGCAGGTGAGAAGGAACATTAGAATAACCAAATTGCTAGATAATTCAGATTTTAATTGACCAGAAAATAGTCAAATATCTTCTGATACTTTAGAGAAATGTACACACACACACACACTCTCACAATTTGATGCCCTTGAATTGTGGAGTTGGCAAATAATATGGAATGTACTACGGACTGCCAAAAGAACAAACACATACATCTTGAAGAAAATACAAGTAGAGTGTTCCTTGGAGGCAAGGAGAGTGAAACTGCATTTCATATAGTCTGGCTATGCTATCAGGAGGGCCCAGTCTTTGATTAAAAAAGATGTCATTTTAGGGACAGTAAAGAGAGGACCAGCATAAGGAGAGGATTTAGTTCAGTGAAATTGGCACAGTGATGGCAACAGTGGGCACAGGCATGTGGAGACTGGGTGGGTGGTACAGAATAGGACGGGGTTTTGATCTGTTTTTCACTGTGACTTATAGTTAACTTAGTGGCATCTAACAACAATCACTCACACACATGGAATAATATGAGGGTAATGCGCTCTGATGACACTGTCTGCAGAAAGTTGTGCTTTTAACCTCAAGGCAAAGTCTCTCTGCTGGTTCGAACCCCCCAGCTGCTCCACAGGAGAAAGATGGGCAGTCTCCTCTTCTGTGATTTACAGAAAACTTACTGGAGAGTCAGCTGGCAGTTCCAACTGGACAGCAGTAAAGACCAGATGTGTACATGTATATATATCACCTGCCATCAAATCAGAACCAACCCATAAATGTCCCTTAAGCAGGTTTTCAGAGGCTGTAAATCACACATTTTTGCCCATTATCTCTTGTGAAGCCATTGGAGGACTCAAACTACCTGCCTTTGGGTTGGCAGAGCAACTCCTGGCCACTAAGCCACTAGAATTTCCTATATATGTATCTGTGTGTCCATTTTTATTTGT